TAGCATGAATATTTGTGACAATCGCCATCGTATCGTCGCCAAAATATTAAAATCTGTGCAGCGCCATCTATCGGGCGTAAAGTACACCCTATCTTATACTAATTTTGATATAATTGACGATGACGATATGAAGGCGACTGTCAAATGCTCGTGCTAGATCCACAGCTTTTTATCGAATGTTCACGTAAGACTCTGTAAATATGTTACCTGTGTCGTCGCGCCTGTCGCGGTCTCGCTCCCGGTCGTGGTCTCGTTCGCGGTTGCGTTCTCTGTCGCGGTCTGTGTCGCGGTCGCGATCACGGTCGCGTTCGCGCTCGCGTTCGCGTTCGCGCGCATCTCGTCGCTCGGCGGCGGGCAGCAGCGAGCGCGCGCCGGCACCGCCCCGCACCGTCATTATCCACGGCTCGTCCGCCTCACTGTCGCCTCTACTGCACTCCTCACTACAGTAACATATTCAATATTTGTTTAATTTCTTTATCATTAATTCTTTTCGAAATATATTAATTATAATATTTATTGAAATTTATAATCGAAATGGAATCAAGGATTCATATACTAAGGCAGTTATAGCTCAACAAAAATATTACGTATTAAATTACCAATTGCTTAGTGAACTACTGCCAAATTACTGATGGGAATAAAAAGCTCTATGATGAACTAACCAATTTTATAAACATTTTCTTCGTAAACTTTTAAACTACCAGTATTAAAACAGTGTTAATTACTCACGAGTCTGAATTTTCCGACTCCGTCTCGCTCTCTTCACTACGCTGTGCTTTCCACTTCTTGTACCTGTCGATGAGGTCCATGAGGTAGGAGTTCTTCTTCGCTTTCCTGATAAACTGGAACTTTAGTAATTCCTTTGCCGTCGGCCTCTGGAATCAAACAACTATGAAGTGAGTTGACAGTAAAAAAAATATATTTATTTTTAAAACTTTGTTTACACGTAAAATAAATGGACGAAATTTGTAGTAAACGTACTTAAAACTTTACTTTGCATAAAGCCTAAATTTCTCATTTAACGTTATGTAATTAAAAAGTTTAAACAAAAGCCAGTCTTTCCCCGAAACTGATCAGCATACAAGCAAACCAAAAGAGGTCGTAATTCGAAACTGGGACATGTAACAAAGACAAACAGCGGTGGGGAATAAATGAACTGTTGGTAAAGTTTGTATAATAACAAGAGGCTGTGATGTCGCGGGCTCAGGTTTGTTGACCCGCCGACCCGAGACCCGAGCTCCGGCCCTCGGCGCGGAATGTTTGTGTTGTCGACTCTCGAGAGCACTAAACACCTGTCCTAAAGTGGACGATTTTCAAGCTTTCACACAGAAATATGCATCTTGTTTTATTTTCTTGTGCTATTCTATTTTTCACTAGCTCCATTGTCTGGCTTTGAGATCTTGAGTTGGTTGATTTTTCGATTGACCACCGTCTAATTTTAACAAAATAAGAAAAACTTCTTACATTTTCGGGGTCCTTGTTCAAACATGCTTCAACAAACTCTTTGAAGGGCTTCGAGTAGGAGCCCGTGAGTTGTGGGGGATTGTTCTTGGGTATAAGGAAGAGGACGCGCATGGGGTGCAACTCCGAGTTGGGGGGCTCCCCTTTGGCGAGCTCGATGGCGGTGATGCCCAGCGACCAGATGTCCGCCTTACTGTCGTAGCATGACTGCTTGATCACCTCGGGCGCCATCCAGAAAGGCGTGCCAACAAACGTGTTACGCTTACTCGTCGTGTTCGTCAGCTGACCTGCCACACCTGGAAACAGTAAGAAAATTATTTAATACGTTTATAATACAGGTACAAATTGTAATGCTTCTTACGATTGAGAGAAAAATGATTGTTATTACAAGTTATAATAGTTAGAGTAAGCGTAATGTGCGTAATGCGCATCTCTGCTCACTAAACATTTATCTTAATAATTTTACAATTTGAAAATTTCTCTGAGCTTGCCGACATTACATATGAGAAAGAATAGAATTCCTTCTTAGAAGTGTTTATAAAATACGATCCAAAAAGCAATTTGGCACATAGTTTCCCTCCCATTATACGCTATCTCGCTCCAGCGTACTATAGTGCGTATCTTGTTTCCTTTTCGATCCTTTTAACGCGAGATAATAAAATAAGTTTACACAAGGAATGTGTGCCAACATTTTACAACGTTTCCAAAGGAACATTTAATACAGCCTCCGGTCGCCGGTCGCCAGGATGACTCTGTGAGACGAAATCAAACGTCAGTCGCTGGCGGTCCGCCAAAGTGTCGCCTTGTAAAACATTGCCTTAACTTGGTTCGGGTCGTAAACTTGATTAACGCACGTTGGGGAGAAATACACGGGAAGTCCGAAATCATAATTAGGAGCAATGGAATTGAACTTCCGTTACTGGCGTATAAGATAGAAAATGATTACATTAATGAATGAAATATCAGGTAGTTGTAGAGAGAGCTATAGATTTTGCAATCTGCTCCGTGGTCCTTTTCCCTTATTATGTGACCATCACCATTAAATATCATAAGAAAACCAGAGTCGTCTGTCTTTAAACGTCACATTTAGTTGCCCAATCCAGTTATAATTACGATTTTTAACTGACTTATGCTACTGCAGAATCTATAAAGAGGGATTGTCCACCTACTTTTTGCATAATGACTAGAAATAGTTACCAAAGTCAGCGAGCTTGACGTCTCCCATCTCGCTGAGGAGTACATTGGCGGCCTTGATGTCACGATGCAGCTTCCGCTCCGAGTGTAGGTAGTCGAGACCGCGTAGCACCTCGCGCAGGATCACCGCGATGTGCATCTCTTCGAAGCTGCCCGCCTTCATCAGGTCCAGCGCCGACCCACCGCCCAAATATTCCATTATTATCCATAGCTTTGTTCCCTGTAACGTGGAAGCAAAGCGCTGTTAGTGAAATGTCATTTCACATCAAGAATGTATTTCACGATTGGATAGAATGGGAAAGAGTTTCAACTAGCCTGCTAGAGTAAAGGTTATTGCTACTATGATCGACTATTTCATGACAATTATAAACGCTTTGTGTTAGGTTGTTGTTAATGTCTTTTCAAAAATATAATATTCAGATAAACGTTCAACTTTCTTTAACAACAATTTCTGGTGCCCATAGCAACTACAGTACCTCAGATACTGTAGACTACGTGATGGTTTAGACACTAGAAACTTTTTCATATCAAAAAGGCAGAACATCGAATAAATTATTTAAAATATAAATTTGAAATTTTTTCCCTGGCAACAAATGACAGAGTCAAACACGTTCCCTATCGCTCGATATCGTGCTATATACATAAAACCTGGATTAATTAAAACTGAAATAAGTATCGAGAACACAGGAAGTTAATTAGCAGATAAAACTAATGACGAATGCTAATGGTTGAAAAAATAAATTCTTATTTTTTACATTCCTTATCAAAGGCAAAAAAACTTAACTGAGGAAATTTACATTAAATAAATTTAATTTTGTTATTTAAGGGCACAGAAATCTATTTCTTTAAAATAAAACAAAAAAATTTAATTGTAGAACAAAGTACTAATGGATGAATGATGGATGAAAATGGAAATGGATTTAAGATGCAATGATTATAATAAAACCCACTGCAAAAACAATCACAAAATGCAAAAAATTAATCAAATTATATGTTAACCAACCTTATTCTCATTATTTTCATGTTCAATAAATAAGATTTTTAGTGGAAACAGTATCACAAATATCAGTCGTTTTAATAAACTTTTGCGATAAACAATAACAAGCTATTATAAGTGGTTCTTTAGTATTTCCTAAGCGAGGGGGCGTAATAATAGAGATAGGGAAAGAGAAAATATTGCGAACATGTAATGGGACTTCGTTATAGTTCGATAACATGTTTCGTATGATAAGAAATAGTTACTTTAGGATATTATCCTTCCGACTTACAAAACAATCTAGATACAAGTTCAATATAAACTTGTATTATTCGATAAAAAAAACATTAATATTTAGGAAATCTTACTTAGTTTTTTTATACACTAGCTGTCTAAATTAAAAAAGAATTTAAAAATACTTCTTCCAGACTATGTTACATCTATACTAAATTTCAGCAAGATCCACACAGTAATTCTAATACCTTGAAACAAACAAACATCCATCCATCCATCTTAACATTCGCATTTATAATATAAGTAAGATAGTAAAAAGTAAGATTACAAGACAGTTAATAGCTCGAGACATAAATTAAAATGACGCTTAACATTCACGCTACGTCGGGCAAGGTTAGTGAGTAATACGCAATCAAGAGGCTTGCATCAGAGCTTCGTAAATGTCAAGTAACAATCCACTGATGCAATTGATAACAACGAGATATGCTGTATAAGATCAAAGTTCGTTTAAAAAATAGCTTAGAATGCAAGTTTTGTTTAAATCACATTGCTAGAAGTCTTTTAAACCTAGCTTGATTCGCAATGTTGTGGTCAAGTTTAATCTTGCTAATATTACAAATGCGAATGTTTAGATTGATGGATGTATTAATGGATGTTTATTTGGAGGTATCTCTAGAATTGCTTAACGAATCTCGATGAAATTTGGCATACATATAGAACACAGTCCGGAAGAACACAGGCCGCTAACCATGTATTATATAAATTCACGCGAACGGACTCGCGGGCAACAGCTAGTAAGCATAGTAGCGTTTCATTGTTTTAAGATCAATGATCGATGTAATAAGGCAATAACATTTTAAATGACAGAAGGAAACATAAAACAACGTCATTGATACAATACGTTGCGGAAGACAGAGCGGGCGCGGCGAATGGTTCCGGCCAGGCGCGGTGCACGCTCCATCAGCCAACATCACTCTCATACATATTCATACAAAATGAACACGGTCATAAAGTACCGCACTCAATACTAAACAACCTTCAATTAATTATTATACCTACTTGTCTTCAAAGTTACCGATCGGAATCTAATTTACTCACATTATGGTGCGCCAAGCAATTTTTTTTTGCCTGATTAATTTAGTTCTAGAGTGATATTTAAGTGATATGTTATCTGGTACTTAATTACTCTTAGATCTACCTGATTGTTTTTCATCTTTGAGTACATTATCATAGCTTAAAACTATATTTTATTGTGGGTTTAAATAAATAAATCGCCATTTAATTTAAAGTTAAATTAACATTTGTACAAAGAAAAATGTAGTTACAGTCCAATAAGGTCAAGTTAAGTGACAATTTAACCCGAATGCATAACCCTTATTGTCTTTAAAGCAAATGACAATGAATTTAGAAATGTAAATTCATTGCATTGTTTAATTTAATTAGATATTTTGGAATTATAATATAAAGGGTCGTTTAAATTAAAAACAGACCAATAAACTAAATAACAAAAATGTCAGACCCATTTCAAAAACAAATAAAAAGTTTTTCCTTTTCAAAAAAACTTATTACATGATAAAATATGTTAAATTAGGGTAACAATGACACATTTTGAAAAGTTTTGTCTACTAAATGTTGTATTTTGACATACGGGTATTTTCTTTGTCCAATTTCCAAACGACGCATTTCCGCATCGTAAAGGCTTATCTGCACTCGTTCCTAGTCGGCTGACGTACATTTTCGTTGCCATGACAACGGGCCGGCGTCGGTCGTTGACCCCGCCGTCGCGCCTTCCATCAAAGTAAAACAAAATGTACAACTATTCATTCCTCATAACTCAAATAAGGGCAGAAAACTTGGGGAAAATTAAACAGAGAACGTTGTGAGAATCTCGAATGGAAATTTAAATTTTATGTGTCTTGGTTATTAAATGTGCAGACTTATTTGTATAACTAACTTACAGTTATTTGATAGCGTTTGTCTTGGAAACCATTGTCATTGCTCACTTTGCAGTTTGCTCCATATTCTTCAGGCAATAAAAATCAATTTAGTTGTCCCTTACTTCTCTGATGATAAACAAGCTATGAAATCTCCTTCATTTATATTACTAGAATGGAACGATTGATAATCGCGCTTGCCGGAAGCAACAATGAAATTTCAGCATTTTTATCTTATTTCTTATTGTGTACTTTTTTCTATCTTACAAGCAATACATCGTTTAGTTAAGAATTGTTACCAATAATAATAGCAAGAAGCACAATTGTTAGTCGAAGCGAAAATTATTAGTTTAAATTGAAGCGTCGTCGAGCGGTTGCCATGGCAACTCGCTGAGCGAGGGAACTCCGCTTAACTTCGTACCCGCCTTAATAATTTCCCGTACTATTGGATGCCGCTATTCGCCTGTAAACATCTATGAAACCAATTTAAGTTCGTAAGAACTAAGTATAATCTACAATACCCGGGGCAGAAACGTGACTTAAAGCTATTTCGGTGTTCGTGTCTAAAAATATAAAGGAGAATAACTTGGTGACATTCGGAAAATAGTTTTGCGACGTTATTTGGGTTTAGTTTTAAACCCGTTAATGGAAAAAATATGACGTGAGTTGCTATCGTTAGAATGTCGAAGACTGGTGTATCTAACAAACTTTATAACAGTGTGTTACTTTAAATTCGTAAATTTTTGTACTGATCAGTGCGAAAACACATAATAGGTTCCCAATTAACCTTAATTATCAAATTGTACAAATACAATGTGAAAATAAAATAGAATAAAAAACACAATTCAATTTTTTATAAGATGATACCAGAAACAATTCAGTTCTAATTTGGAGTGCGGATGCGAAGCAACAATGTAAAGGAAAAACCTCCAACTAGATAGAATTGTACGATCCTAAGGGAAAAAGAAAATCTTCTAAATCCGGAATGAGTTTAGGTCTGATCCTCTTAATACTCAATTTATACCGCGATGTAAACGAAACTTGTATAACACTCCCTTTATTTTCAGAGACAAAAGTAAAAATTAAAACCAAGTTTTCACTCGTAACAATTACAAAGCCGTGTTTGCGAGACATTCGCAACTTTTCATTTCAAAATAAAGCACAATAGTAATCCTAGGATTTGCTAAATCCTGAAATTGAGAGATATTAACAGAATTAAAGGGACCGAAATTAATCTCAGGAGATAAAGAGCTACTTAGTGGCAAGTTAAGCGTAATACGTAATGGAATTACTATGAAAGCACAAAAACATGTCTACCATTAACAGGGCCACAGTTACATTAAAGTACTTTAGAAGTACTATATAAGTTTGACATAGTTTATGTTGAATTTTCCTAATTTGGATAAGTATCTTCAAATGCGTGGAGCCTTATCGCAACTTCGTGCTCTTTTTTAAACATTTTAAAAATATAGATGAAACATCAAACTTTTGACAGTTGCATGTAAAAAAAAGAGTGCTAATAAAAAAATTATATGCTCGATCACTTTACGTCGAAGTAGGCAGGCTTTAGCAAACCAAAATCTCTACAAAATAACGTAACATGATAAAAAACACACTAATGCCATTATATCTTTCAACAAAAAGGGTTACGAAGAAGTCTCTCGTATTTACTTTTGTATACAAAGAATTTATGATCACGGCGAAAACATTTCCATAGCAACGAGATAAAGAAAAATAACAAGTTTCTATGATATCAGTTCGCTCGTAAAACAAAACCGGGTCGTGGTACAATATTTTCGTAGCGAGCTTATATTAACTTAAAAAAAAAGAATCCAATAACAACTAAATAAATTATTCATGCTACATCTCATCTAGTACTGTGTGTTTCGTGTCACGTTGTGACAGAGAAAGTAATAAGTTTTTGGAGGGTTTTTTCCCCGTAGCTGCTAGTACAATCCTTGTTCATCATATATTCCCTCATATGATGGAAAAACAAAAAAACTAACCTTATGAGAACCGTCAAATGATATATAATAAATGTGAGCAATAATGTGTAGAAACTGCAGAAACAATATT